GGGGAGGGGTTGTGGTAGTGCAGTGCTTACCTTATCAACAGTGTCCTACATAAAATCTACAAAGTGTTACAAAGCCGGTATGCAGTCAGCTAATGGTAGCCATGAACCTAGCAAACATTGCTCCAGTGCATATTGTCATTATTATTTTTTTGTTTTAAAAGCACTTGTAAAATGAACAGGCTACAGTAGGTTTATCCTCAAAATAACATTTTACATAAAAGGTATCTGGTTACTTGGGGCTGATTGGCCACAGTAATGATAAAAAACATGATGTCTGACAGAGTCACAGAGCAACCTTTTATAGCACTTAAAAATGCACTGTTGCAGGCACCACGTTTGGGCATTTGAAAGAATGATTTCAAACATTCAGTTGGAGTACCCCTGACAACCTGGCAATTTCGACAAGGAGAGAAGCAAGAATATGTGGAGGTAAAACTGCTGCAGAGGTAGGACCTGTTGTCCTCTACCGACCAGTTGAGGCTGTTCAAGCCTTTGGCGGAGATCTCCCAGAGCAACACCCTTTGGTGGTGTTCTTAGCACAAGTGAGGAGACCACAGGGAAGTCTGGGGACGTGCTGGGAGGGTTATAGCTGGTTTACAACTGTGGGAACAATTGTGGATCCCCAGTTGGGAAAATTGATAGATTGACTTGTACTGGACTCCTGGTAGAGAAATTATACATCACAGTGATAAAAGCTTTCCAAGGGTACACGTGATTTTGGCCAGTATTTATCCCTTTAGAAATTACATCCACAAAAGCAGTTAAAAAACACCTGCATCTGGACTGAGACAAGGCATAAGTGAGTGGAAGTGTATTTTTCAAAATACCAAATGTACTGGTTTGCATCCATATTCCCCTTTAGTGTGCACCCTGAAAATTTGAATGCAAATAATGTGAGCCTCAGATTCTTTCATGAATTCATGAAATTCACTTTTTATTTGCTCTGTAGTAATTATGTTCAAGGTTTTCTTTAATTCTGTGAAAACTGTACCACACTAAATTGTTACTGTCATGACAAATTTGCATATATGAATGTAATTATATAGTATGTCCTGTGTCACATTGCTATCCAGCCTGTAAATGTTTTATGATAACAAGAAATTATCCTAATATTAAATCATGTAGGTTGCACTTTTTTTTTTATTAAATTACACATATTTAATAGATATTTGCATGTAGGAAAGCAAGGAGTGGAGCAAAAAGAGCACACATAAAAGAAGACGGAGCTATGTTTTATCACCTCTGAGGTGTTTGGGCCACACGTCAGCTCCAGAGGTGTCTGCATTTTGAAGGAATGGGATTTGCTTCGAGCACACAGCACTGCCTATAAGTTAGAGGATTACCCTGGTCCAGGCTGTGGATACTCAGTGAGGTGTGGGCGAGTATATGGGTGCTTGTGAGAGAGTGAATGTCTGAGTGTGGGTGAGAGATGGGGAGAGAGGCTGAGCCTGTACACAGTCTCCATGTGTGTACACAACCTTGTGTGCAGCACAGCGCCTCAGGGTGTGAAAGTCTGAGGGAGAGGCGGCTTACTCCGAGTAGCTTCAGTTATGCTCACATGTTGCTTCCTGAATTCAGTATGCCCTCAAGGCTTGATAGGCTTCGTGTCAGGATCAGTCACAGATTTGTTAACCTGATTCTAAGAAATGTATTTAAATATAGATACATGGTAATGTGAACTGCAAAAAATATGAATGTTTGGATCAGATTAGATCATTTCCGTGGCACTGTTTATGTGTTTTTCTAAAGGCTGCAGCATGATGTTACAATGAAAGCTTTCACTGCATTCATTACTGATTTTAGTCATTTCTAAGCAAATGTGCTAGGTGCTCTGCTTTACAATGAGGCTCATTGTCTTCTTCTGTTCATAGGCAATTCAATTCAATCTGTCTATTTAGTGAAAAGAAAATATAGCACCATCTAGTGGTGGTTGGTGGTAATTCATTTATCACAGTAATTAAATGTAATGAGACGTTTCCCTGCAGCTACTCATTATGCAGTGTCACCAGCAAATCTAACACTATAATGAAAGCTATACTGGGATAGTTTATCTTTTTAATTTCATCATTGTGACACCAGTCAACTCTACACAACTGACCATTTGCAGAGTACTTATGCTTATGCTCCAGGACATACAATTAAATACTTGACCTTTACTGTATAACCATATTAGGATCATTGTTAAACTCAGAAAATGTTAAGCTGTTAAATGTTATTTTCTCCCACTCACATTTTCAGACTTTTCATTTATCTGCATATCTTCTTAAAGTACTTTTTAAATGTATTTTTGAAAAATACAGAGGATATTATTGCACAGGAGTCTGAGAGATATAGATTTATTTGTGGTAGTCAACTGATTAAATAATTAATTAATTAATAGTGGAATTGGCTTAACTGATAACAATATACCATAGTAGTAATAATATGATTTCAAGCAGGAAATATACCCCCAAATGAATAAAATCCACATTAAGGAAAAATAAAATGTGCACTTTTACTATTAGTTAATTTAAGGAACACCTCATTATCATAACCTTTACGGTTTTCTAAAGAGACAACAGGCATTTTGTTCCTTCTTAATCTATATATGAGGTTAATTTTATTGAAGGTTAAAGAACATGACAGTGCCTTTGCTTCCATTCACCTCCTAATGATCTATTCACACCAGCTCAGCTCATCTCTCCTTGTCTGATCCCCTTTTTCCCAATCACTTTTTCCTCTGTACTTTTCTGCTGTAGCCATTTTATATGTTGCAGCATGGTTAGTTAAAACATATATCTGATCTGGCACAGAAACAAGAATACATTCAAATGTTCTTGCTAAAACATCTAGAGAGAATGTTGTAGCTCAGGCTACTGTACTGCAAACCTGTGTTATTAACATATGTTAGTGATGAAAACACATAGAAAAAGTTAGATTATCCCGGGTTCAGGAGATATATGAACACTATCTGTGTCCTAATCCCATACTGAATAATAATTAACGGTTTTGAATATGTAATGGGTTGACATACAAAGAAAATATTTGTGAGTATGCTTTTGCCCCACAAAAGGAAAAACAAAAGTATGAAATCTTTGGATTAACATTTGGCTTCCTTTGTTACAATTACCATCCACAGTGCTACTAATTAAACTCATATTAGTTGACTGAACAAGAAGTTGTTTTTCTAATGATGTGACGTGATGTAAAACTAATGTGTTACTGACTCTGCTGCCCTTGAGAGCAACATGCTATGATGTATATGGTTGGGAGGCTATTCCTTGGCAACAATAACACAGTACTTTTTTCTTCTTTTACTTCCTGAAATAAATCAAAGACAATAGGTATTTAGAAGAAAAGTCCTCTAGAAAAAGTTTTGTATAAGAAATACTGACGTGTGTTCCTTTATTCACATATAAACACACAGGCTGTATGATGCCTTCACAAGAAAAGGAAAATCCATCTCTCTTACCAACTCATACCTTAATTTTTATAGAGCAGAGCTGTGAAGACTGGTTTTGCCCTGAGGTCGTTGTTGCATGCTTTATGCACACATAATAAACACATTTCAGCAGGCACAATTTTAGAGAATAGAACAGATTCGTCTTGAGATGTAAACAACCTGGCAAAGCACAAACACACAGAGGAGTAGACACAGAGAGACAAACACGTCACATAATGTATCCTGTGCAAGGCCAAATGGTTCCATGGTCATATTTGGAGATGATGGCAGTCCATAAACATGTATTGTGTGCCTTGGCTCCAGTCCAGAAAACACGATTGAAGTTGTATATGAAAAAGAAAACTAGAAACCTCAGGAAAGGCCATAGATAGACGAAAACACAATCATTTAAAAAAATTCCACCCAGCAATAAAGGTTATATATGACTAATAACACCATTATTGTGTGATGTTTTGAATTCCTCAAGCTCATTGTGTTTCAGGTCACTTATAAGTCAACCTCAACTGAATCAGATACAAATACTAATAAAACAAAAACACATAATGTTATGCATTATTATGTGACTTACACATTTTCTAGAGCCAGTGTTTGGTTTGTCCCTTCTAGGCTACTGTACTGCTACGTATTCTAATGTAACAAAAACCAAACAATTCATACACTAGTGAAAACATAGTTATAAAATAGTTACAGAATATTATATTCCATTTCTGCCAATAGATCCTCGTAAATGTTACACGCTACACATGTATGCACATTTTTGAGCTGCTTTTACTTAGATTTTTTTTCATTTTATGCTACTTTATACTTATATTCCACATCAGCTTGAAATATTTTTAAATTAATTTAACTGCAGTTATTGGCTATTGTATAAAATTAGCTTCACCGCAGCCAGCTCTAACATAAAATGCTGCTTTCACTTAATGCATGCTGATATAATAATAGTCTGTTTTTTGTTTTACATTTATAGTATCATTTTACTGCTATACATATGTCTGCTTAAGTAGCATTTTGGATGCAGGACTTACTAAGTATTTTTACAATGTGGTGTTGCTGCTTTTATCTTCAGTACTGTACCTTCAATACCTGACTACAAATTGCTGCTGTGTGAAAAATACTACACTCCATGATTTCTAATTTAGGTGAGGCAATGATTCTTATGCAGGTTTAAGCTTAACTTACAAACATTTTAATGATTACTTTGGAGTCTCATTTTCTCATCTTTTGATCCAGAAACAGTTATGATCCAGGTTTTAATCTTGTATCTTGTGGGCTAACACCGACAGCAGGCTGCATGTTTGTGACACAGCACTGAAATCTGGATTTAATGTATCCTAAAGCGCTGAGACAAATAGCGTTTAAATACAGTATAAATACATTATTCCTTTTTTCCACTGCTGTTATTAATACGTTTTAGAGTGTGTAGTATGCCTGGCTCTTTATTCTGTGTCAGAGCTCTGCCAGGTGGGCTGTATTAGTAATCTAAGATGTTACTTGTCCTGGAAGATCCATGGTAAACAAAATATTTGGGATTTACCCACTACAATTTCACAAAAAAAAATGTTTGTCATATTGACTTTATTAAGATAATTTCAGACAAGACATATATCTTCAGAGACAACATAGAATTACATGACATCAGATGAGTACTGTCTCAACAAATAGATCCACTTTTAAATGATAAAAGGCTGCCCACTCGAGCACAAAAAATAACACTGCATTTTATACTTTATCAAAGCACACATTCTGACATGTTGTTAAGGCTTCAGATTCTTTTGGTAAAAATTCTGAATTTTGACATTGTTAAGACACTGGAAGAAGAATCTGCTCACATAAATGTAGGCATAGTTTCTATTGTACATCTGCACACAAATGCACACACACACACACATACACACACATATTCCGTTAACTGTGTAGACAGTGTCTGAGGAGGAGGAGGAAGTTGTTGTCAGAGGTAACGAAGGGATGTTCAGGGTTAACAAGTGAATTAACTGACAGCCTGTCTTATTTTCCTGTCAGTGCTCAGACAGAACCTGGTACTCACCGGGGCTTAACAAAAGAACAGAATACCTGACGTTTAAAAAAAAAATCTAATACTGTAGCCATTTCCTAAATTGAAATGAAAAAAGTTCTCACAAACCGCCGCATTGTTACTGTTTAAGTTTGAATGTTTCCTGCAAACGACAAGTTCATGAGTGCTATATATTTCACTGGAAGTCTTCTCTGTGGTGAGACATTCAGACAATACAATGTCAGATGTCAGTATCAGCAGAGCTATGCCGTGTTTTTGGGCAGCAGGGTGGATCTCTGGGTTAGGGCAAAAGTCAAACAAGGGGAAAACCAACAAACCAAATGTACATGTCTTTGACATGTGATGTGACACACACTGTCCCTAGCTTCGATCTAATCGAAAATGAATCTATATGAGAATAAAAAACTATTACTATACAAAACAAATCTTATGCATTTGACAAGTGCCTTGATTATTAATCATCCCAGTTCTCCAAATATGTAAAAGAACAAACCAGGTTAAGGAAATGGTTCAAAGTAAGCATATCATACAAAACTTTTTTTTTTTTTTTTTTTCCAAATGGTTAAAAAAAACAATATATAGACATTAAATACACGTTTCCCTCATCATATTGCACAAATACTCAAGTGGCAATTTGTACTGGCCCTCTTTGTTCTCTGTCGCTACACAAATACACAAAGAAAATCAGGAAAGCACAGAAAAACATACATGCAATAAGCAACATAACTAATGAGGAGACATTTTACAAATGCAATTGCATTTGGAAAATGGAATTTTTGAGATTAGGTTTGAAGGTGAATAAATTATTTTAACAATCCAAATCAAAATGTGAGTGACTACAGGGCGTGTGAATATATATGCATCAGTAACAGTAAATCAGAGTGTCAAATGTATATAAAGAAAAATTTAAACATCACATTTGGTGCTTGTGTCAAAGCTATGTACTGTGGATACAAATTGCTTACTTATCCCATAAGACTTGATGTGTGGTGGAAATATTTTTAAAGAGGTAAAAGAGTGGCGATAAAAATATGAAAATACATTTACATTTTGTACATTAAAACAAACAGTTGGTTCACGGATCAACCGTCACTCTACAGTTGTAGCACTCATGAAAGTCCCTATAATGCATCTATGCAGCTTCTGTCTAGCATTAGCATTGTGGTGGCTGATGCAGCCTATCAAATGTAGAGAGCAGAAGTTAATGATTTTGACTCTCAAGATCTCTCTCAAATGACAGTTTCCATAACATTAGGTGTGTCCTGTGACAGCTGGAAATAATGCTAAAGTTGGATTTTGAAAGAAGTTTTCATGGGGTTAAAACACAACTGACAACTTATATTGTTACTATTGATTATACTATGCCGCCTAAATAGGCTGTATTCAGAGCTGGTGATTATATGGGAAGATTAAGTTCAAAATTATGGAAAGGTGGGGGGAGCTTGAAGGTGTTTAACTCAGTTTTTTGGGGTTTAGATATATAGCTATATCAAAATTACCAGACATCTGACTCTGCCAGTTTTCACCTGAAAATTGGGTTTTCCAGCCCATTTGTTTAAAACAAACATTTGCCTTAAATCTCACAGATTTAATTTCCTCATGTGTAAGAAATACTAATTAAATGTGAATTTCATTATAGAATATTTTAGCCTCTTGTATGTACCTGAAGTTCCCCCCACACATAATAAAAGTCTGACAAAGAGTTACTTGTCAAAGCGAAATCTGTGAATGCATTTGCGAGCCATAACATGTGCATTATTTCCCATCACAACATAGAGCAGGACATTAGTTTCTAGCTACATTTTGAATAAGAAAGACTGGAGTGTGAGCAAGCAGATTTGACAGTTCATACTTGTTTAATTTCTTGATCTTCAAATAAGAAGATTAATGTTTAATACACCATAAATAGCTACCTCTATGTAAATAGGGAGATGATTAAACTGGCCTGAAAACATAATGTATTAAGTTCTTTATCTATACATTTGTTGCCACAGGCCTCAAATCTAGGGTGAAAATGTATAATTACAACAAACTGTCAGGCAGAGGTGATGGCCTTATTAGAAATTCTAGTGAGAATGGACATTGTGCAAAGGAAAAGTACTGGAATTCCACCTCCAGACAGACTATTTTGGGGAAACTCCACCCTGTGGGCGTAGCTGTATGAGTGGCGCTTAAGTCCACATTTAGGTCTGAGGTCTAAAAACTGATGTGCAGAGTTTTGGTACAAACTCCTCATTCAGCTCTGAATACAGCCACTTATCTCTACATGCTGTACTGTACATAACAAGAGTGATTATTTCTGAGCTCACATAAATGAAAGTACTTTTTTCTTAATGGTTGATAATATATTGCTACCTTTGGGCCATAAATATGACTTAGGCTGGCTTTGGTTGAGTTATTACAAAATCAAGTATAATTCTCTGGGGGGAAAAAAACTTGACTTTAATATGAAGGCCCTGATATAGCTATTGGATAGCATGAAAATGGCCCACGGAGCTACAAATGACCCAGAAGGTCAAATATAAGATTTACCTTGTGACACAGAATAAAACAAAAATTGAAAGAGGCAGTAAATAAGATCAATTCACCAGAGAAATCTAGTGTTAAGTTTAAACTTAGCTCCAGACTTCAAAATAATAGGAGGTAGCTGTTAATCATTGACCTCGAACTCCAATTAGGACAAATACCCCTTAAGGTGAGCATTTCATTGACTGGTTTGAGATCCTAAAATGTTGAGCTTTTCTAACCCCAAGGCATTGTTGATAACTTTTTGGTCTGACCTAGCCAAAAGCCATTTGTATTTTTCTAGCTTAGATGTGAATGCAAAACAGCTTTTCATCTGTTCAAAGTCAGTCTTTTGACCGGTTTGTCTCCTGTCTAACTATTATTGTGCTGCCATCACACAAGCACAATTCATTGAAAGGAATGCAGTGAATTTCCTGTTAGCTCTTTGGGGATATGGTTTGTTTTTCCTGTTGCTGGGAGCCAATTTTTTTTTCTCTTGCCCTCTTTAACTTCCTGTCTAGGAGCTTGACTTTACAGAGAGGCTGCAGAGATGAGCGTCAGAAGCCATTGATTAGACTTCTGTTATCTGTCACCCAATGCCCCCGAACCCCCACCCACCATTACAAACTCCCAGATCACATCCATTTCAGGCTTGGTGTGTCAGAGACGTGGGTTGTGCTTTAAATGAAAATTTGAAGGGGACCGGGAAGGGAAAGATGCTTTTTAAGAATTATAAAAAAAAAAACAAAAGCACAAAACCCATATAGGTGACTTTGAAGGGAGATGGTGGCCATGCTGGTGGTGGAGACTATTGTAATCTCATGCCATGCTGCTGGTCGGTGTGCTCTGGGTGCTTCCAATGCTAGCGTTGGCGCTGCTGTTCTCAGAAGGGGAAGGATTGGTAGAAACAGGTTGTCGTTTTGCTCCTGAGCAGGGACATCCTGAAGAAAGATGAGAGAAAAGCCAATAAGATGACAAGAAGAAAACGAGTAAACAAGCACCAATACAATTCTTTATAAAAATTCCTTACCAGGAAGATTTGCTGCAGTTGAGCTAATGTCCAGTCCAGTTGGGTACCCTAAATTAAGCAAAATGAAAAAAAAAGAGGATTTTAACTCCAGACAAACATAAATTCAGATCTATACTCAACCAGAAGCTCTATACTGTTAGTCATACATTTACCTGTTTTAATTTTGATAAACCACAGTGCTCCAATGAGCAATACTCCGATCAAGAACCCTCCAAAGGCAATGCCCAGAACACCAGGTAGGCCAAAATCAATGCATGGTGGGGCTGAAACATATACAGGACAAAACAATGTAGGCAAGCTTCATTTCAACAACAGCAATCACAAAAACCACAAGTCAAAAGTGGCGCTTATTGTTCAGGCCAACACAGTATGAAAATACGTTTGCAGAGACTTGAAATGTTCTTGATACACAGTAAGCAGTAAGTCTGTATGATGGTATGTTGGTATGTATGGTATATGGTACGTATTTTCCAGCGATATATAGTATAATATGTTTAAAAGCAAAAAGATCAAGGGTTGGCGCCAATCCGATTGGCTGACTTCTTGTCAAAAAATGTCAAAGTAGAAGGTGCCAACACCAAATTTTCTTAACACCCAAAGAGTAATTTTAGTGTGTCTAGTGAAAACTGTTTAAGACAACAAAATCTTTTTCTTCTAATTAAAGATGTAGGAGGTTCCTGGCATGCACCAATAAAGCTGTGTTTTTTAAATCCTGCGTCCAACTGCATTAGCAAGACGACTATATGTTTACTGTGAAGTTTCCATGCAAGAATTAAGTCGATTGTCATACTGGCAAGAGGTGAAACCAACAACTGCCTCAAGAGTGAAGGTATAGAATTTGAAATAACAAACAGCAATGTTAAATATATACAATTTGTAGAAGCTATGGTATGATCCTTTAATACTACTTTTCCCTCACTCCTAAATACTGTGGCAATACATGCAAAGCCTATTCAGTAAATATAACAGACATTACTTTTTCAGGGTTAGACCTCAGTCTAACTGAAATTAAAAAGAAAATGTGCGCTCTATCATTTTCTCTGTTCTAATTTAATGATACAAATTTCAATTTACAACAACAAGTTTGGCATTGGCGATGTTCTTTAGGCAAGCCGTGTGCTGGCTTACCCAACACAATGTGCTTCACTGCTAACAAACTTAATAAAAAATATAAAAGCATGAGCCAAAAGCAATAAAAAAAATATTTTCCCTCAATTAAGCTCTGAAAGAGTAAGAGAACAGCTCACTCAAGCCTCTGACATACAGTACTATGGCTCGGTAATACTGTACTAGACTGGCAAGGTCATACCACAGCTTTGCTTCACTCAATGTGATCTGGCAAGGCCGCAAATGATTAACCTTGAGATAGAAGTAATTTCAGGAAGGGTGTTTTTCCTTCACTCGTGTCACCTTAAACTATTCCAACATTTGACTAAACTAACTACTCACTGGGCAGTTATCGATCTTTGCTTGTGATTTTCAAGCTGAAAAAACATGCCAGATATTCTTAGATCCTTGAAAAGCTTATTTAAAATGTTCTACCAAGATATTTCTTCAGTATGATCGGTATCTGACTGGTTTAGGTTTACAATCTGAGTTGATTGTCTAAATTGTTGTACCAAATTCTGAGTTTAGGAAAGTAGTGTGGCTCTGCAAGGCCACACACACACACAACTTTGTCTGAAACCATGCAAGTAAGCTGTCAGATGCCCCACCAGAACCTAACATAGCCAGTATGTGCATGCTATGTGTTTCCATCAAGGAAAACAATGTGCAAACATATGCTTGCCCTTCTCCCCTTCTTCTGCTACCTGTAGAGATCTTCCAACAGGTATCCAGAACATGTGGAAGAAACCAATCATCACCTTTGCAGTTTCTCTCACCTGCCTCCTGTCTTCCGGTGGAATATGCCAGGCTAAAAACTATACTGGGCTTCACACACTACAGTTAACACCAGGTTTGTTTTGAAGAAACTTGCCACCAGTCTATGCATCATATGCATTTGAATAATTGTGTGTAGTCCAACTGCCTCTGCAATGAGCCTAGAAGAACTTATTGCTGATATCAGAACATACAACATTTCAAATGAACTGCATGGACATTAGGACAGTACAAAGCCTGGTATAGACTCCACAAGGTTTCATTCATTTTTTTTATTAAAATGAAGTCTATATTAAATACTAGCTGATATCTGATTAAACATGACAAAATATCAACTGAATTAAATATGACGCAGAACACTAAAACAGTGACATCTTGTGGGCATTTGTGCTGACTGCATGCCAGACAGCCAACCCAGTTTGTTGATCTGTCAGCGAGGAACATTCCTTGACCCCGAATGGGCCAGAAACATCACAGCAACTTGAGCAGGCTTTCTCTTGAGACTTTTTTCTGTAATCAGTTGCTGTGTTAGTGTGTATAAGTGAGGCTTTGACAGCCAAGCTGAGTAAACAAGAGCAGGAAGCAGAAGCTCCAGTGCAGGTGGAGAGGGGAAGACAGACAGCAGGCCTGCTCTGTGACTCCCTGGGGCCCTCTGTATGAAAACTACCAAACAGGAATCATAGCTGAATGGAGCACTCAGCCCTGGCCAGTGAAGCCTCGCAACAGGGCAGTGCAGTCTGCTAGTCCTGATATATAACCCTTGTATCTCTGACACTGGGCTAATGAATGGAACCACATAAACAGACCTACCACACCTCCAGAAAAAAAAGAAAAAAATCTAACATAAGTTAAAGCAAAACAGCGAGTAGGACAAACAGAACACACAAAGCATGGATGAGTAGTTTTGTCAGTTTCCCCAACATATACAGTATGTTCCAACATTGACATAACAACCTTTATCTTTCTTCTCTAGAAGGAAATTGAGGATAAAGAAAGCTTATCTGTTATCAGTTTTCCAAAAGAAGTCTGACTAACTCCAGGTAATATCCATATAATCAACATCTACTTCCTTGTGTCTTTTTACTCAGAAATTGAATCATTTAAATTTTCCTGGAATCAATCATTTGTTTGGAGATTTTTTTTTTGAAGAAAGACATCTTTTCCTTGTTTGAGTCAACTGTGTTGAATGGTCCTACAATAGCACCAGGCCCAGTGGCTTTGTTTGGACAGCATACTCAGTCAGACCCCCTTGGAAACACAAAGGACTTTGTCCCCCTCCCCTGTGGGCCATTACGTCTGATTGTGGCCACAAGGTCAGCCTGCAGACCTTCCTAAAGGACGAGGCCCTGCCCCGCAAGCCCTTACTGGCTTCACTGCATATCCTGAGTTCACTGCTATGACAACCGCCCGCACAGCACATGTTGTGCACTGAAATCAACAATAGGAATGAAAATCATAGCAGCAAGCAGAGCACCAGACTAGCAATTAAGTCCTGAGGGCAAAAAAATAAATTTCAAAGTTTTATAATTTAAAAACACCTAAGAGTTCAGAGAGTTTAATGTGAGAATTCAATATGAAACATTCATCCTATAGTAAGGGTTTGTCAAGAAATACAACCATCAGCAAAACTTTTCCCACAAGTTTGTGTGTAGACTGGACCTTTCTGCATTTGTTGGGTTTGGTGTGTTTTCATGTGTCTGTGGGGGAGTGTCAGGTTATTTTATGTTATATTCAAGTGCTTTTCAAATTTATTTATTTTTCTTCTTTCTGGAAAGTCAGTTTTAGTCAGAAAATCAATAGACTATTGCCTAGTCTTCTTTTGTTTGTAAACATTGCAATAATTCGGAAATCGTGTTTAATTTAAAAGTCGAAACAAGAACACTGTATTTGAGAAGATCATACTGGAGAAGGCTTTGTAAGAAAAATAAACACAGTAAAGAATGTGAATACAAATCTGATCCAATTAGGGCTTGAACAGCATCTGAATCGGACTCAAAAAGGTTAGCTGATCCATATTTTGGAGTTTAAACTGAACTCACTTGGTGGTGGCAGACCCTGCTGGGTAACCTCCAGATTCCTCTTCACTCTTCCTCCATCTACGCATTTCTAGTAAGGTGGTGAAAAAAAAGAAAACTTAACAACAAAGCATATGTACATACAAAAAACAACCAAATGAAATAACACAGGTTATATTTTCTCAATGCAGACCAATTGAGCTGTCAAACATATTTAAATTGTATAATATATAATAATGTCTAATAGAATATTTTATTTATGATTAAAAGCACTTTCATTTGAAATCATTTAAGAGTTATGTAAAAAAAAAAAAATAGCTGATTAACACCTACCTCACTGTAGCAAAGTTTCACAGAGCATTCCAGGTCCCATGTAGTGGAAGTCAGCCCTTGGAGCTGATCTAAGGAGAAGCTGAGTCGGGTGCTGTTGGGACAAGAATTTAAGAAGCAGGCCTCTGGTATGAAGGGCAGCTCTTTCCGAGCCGGGCATGAGCCTTCGGAGTGCACAAAGCAGCGAATCACCTTGATGGTCAAGACAAAATCCCCAAATATGTGCCCTGAAATCTGCAGCAAACAGAGAAAAGATCAAATGAACTGAAACAGAATGGAAAAAGCACAATAACAAATCAAATGGGAAGCAGTAAAGTGCCGTAAAGTGTGTCCCAAGTATAGTTGCTGGAAAGCAATAAGCCATTTTACTGCTATTCTACATTATCCACCATATATTTATTTATTTTTGAGCAGGAAATGTGAAATACGCCTAAGAGGGTGAATTATTTCTTACCTCTGCATAAATTCTCTTGTCACTCTGCACCTTGGTGTTAGGGTCCAGGGGAGAACGGTAGTCTGGGGAGGTGTACAGCTGCATCAGCAGAGGCATCTGATTAGGGGCATTAGTTGTAATGGGAATGTCTGTAACTGAGAGAGAAATAGATAGATAGATAGATAGATAGATAGATAGATAGATAGATAGATAGATAGATAGATAGATAGATAGATAGATAGATAGATAGATAGATAGATAGATAGATAGATAGATAGACTTTATTAATTCCCAAGGGGAAATTGGGTCATCATAGCAGCCAGGTACATTAAAATACAATATAATAAAATACAACAATAGAATAAAATACTTAGATAGAAAAGATAAAAAAAAGATAAATAGGTAGGTAAGGTGCAAAGAGTTGTAGTTGCAAGATGGTGATAATAGTACTACTTGTTAATAACTGTATATAATAATAACAGTATATAATGATAATATTAATAATATTTATAATAATATAATAATAATATGTATATATAATATGATGACTGAACAGATATACATGTATACACAAATGGCTGACATTTAAAAAAATATACATCCATCCACATCGTTAATGTACTTTCTTAACGTCTTAAGTAAACTTAATACAGACAGTTGTCCTTTCCTGTGCAGACTTTGCTATACTACCACTATTTTTTATGATAAAACTTATAACTTGAGAACTTCACTCAAATTGCAGCATAGTGCATTGTGTGTGTAAATAATATATTGAATGTGATAATGCTGTGAGAATGATTATAAAAGCTGTTGCATAACGTACATTGTGTAACATGTATTATGTATTATGGCTATGGCTTTTGTACTACTCCATCTACTCTCTTGACAGAAAATGCCTCAAACTTGAAAACAAATGTTCACCTTTTATCATCTTACCTGCAGTGTTTTCTTTTTTTCCAAGAACCAGTAAAATCATAGAGTCCGATGGTATGAATTCAGTATAGCTGGTGAAAGTACTGACTTTAAAATATTCTAAAGCCCTCCTTTGTACCTCCTTTGCATTGTCACTATTCAGTGTTAAAGGAGGAGGCACTCTTTGTGTCCCGGTGGTCAGCAGCAGGATTTCATTGTTAGACTGTAGGAAGAAAAGGCAAGTTCAAATAGATCACTGTCTTGTACAAATACTCACTCAATAATGAGCAGGTTTCACAGGTATTGGAAAGTGTACACAATTATCACAATGTTATTTAGTGAGCTTTATCACACTATTGACAACAATGTAATCACATAAAGTGAAAAAAGAGTCTTTGTCCTCTTACTAAATCCCATCTCACATGTTGTTGTTGTGGGACAATAAATATGCTTATTCTTTGTGCTACTGGAGTGTGTGTATGTGTAAGCTCACTCCAAAGCGGGTGTGAGTTGGGTTGATGAAGATCCATTTGGTCCCATTAGGTCCTCTCAGGAATACATTGGTGTTCTCCTTGTCTATGCGAAGTGATACATTGCTGCAATATGAAGGATCAGAAATTACAAGAGAACAATTTGCCAAGAAAGACTTCAAAACAATACATAAGATGCAATGTTTTGTGGATCCCAAGGTTTACCGAATGTTGGCATTCTCTCGGATGTTTATGATGTGAAGCTCAGCTTCATCCCTGTGGTTCTGTGGCTTTGGAGAGCAGGAATTGAACAAAGAAATTCTTTCAATCTTCATAAAGTGCTTCTCTGATGGATCTTCATTTTTAAGTATGCAGTCATGAGTACCAGGTTTGGTCCCTGTAAAACCGCAAACGGTTAATTTTCCATCATTGTTGGCAAGACATTCAAGTCAAAATATAAGTAATAATTTCTGCATGCATAATCTCCTATAATAAAGAAGACAACAGCTCAAAATTGACTGCCAGCACTTCTGTATAAATACTTAATGGCAGTGAGGTAGCGGCTGCAATAAGCAATTACAACTAGAGCCTACTTTTTTATCTATTTAACAATTAGTTTTACTCAGAGTGATGCTTTGAAAGATTATTTCTGTTCAGTGTGGCTCGAAACAGAATTGACAGTTTACAGTGTTTTACTCAGCGACCAGCACCGGGGAGCCATAGCCCAGTCTGCAACAGAACACCAAACTGCTGGGGCAGGCGCATTAGCACCCTGCCTTCCCCACTAAGGAAGATGTTCCAGGAGGAGTCTCATGAGAGTACACTACGCTGAGCCTTTGACCAAATAATGGTGACGGATAGCTTACAGGTGCACCCTGGTGCAGTTCTGAAATTGTTGCGCACATTTTGTTTCAAAAATGGAAATTGGGGTGATATATGTTTACCACAGCACCTCATGTAGCCTCATCACACCAATAGCCAAGTATAGTGAGCAGTGAGAAAGACACACAGCATATTTGAGCCAAAGTATAGGAGTGTTTGAAAAATACTGAGCACATGGATTATGCTACAGGCATGGATGGAGAAATGTTTTCCAATATAAAGATTTGTTGCCATTAGAGTACATTGAGAGTTGAATTCAACCTGACTGCTAGAGGAAACTAGCAGCTTTTAACAATGTCCTTTCAATCCTGCAGGGATCTACAGTGATTTTAAGTGCAGTATCACTTCAAGGAACTTTTAGTTACTACGCCCCAACTTGCTTGTAGCTGGGCAACTAGAATTCAGAAGTAGCTTCCTTAACACTGCTAAACATGGCTCTTTTGCACTAGCAATAGCATGACCTGAATTTCAAATCACATTCAGACATTCAAGAAACCTGAAGAACATGTTTTTTCTCTTCAGTGAGCCTTCAACTTGGCAACACGCAGTTGTGTAGTCATTGCACAGACTTTTCAAACGCCTACAACAAGGCCTACGCAAGTTCACCTAACACCCTATTACGGGCCAAGGGATAGAACAAAATAGCGCTGTAAACTGCTCCACTGCTTGAGTAATTCTAATGCCCTTGTGGACTATGAATCAGTGAAAACACTAGCTAAAACTAAGAGAGGTGGAAAACACGGCCTTTCATCACAATTTAATCAACACATTTAAAATGGGATAAGAGCAGCATGCCATTGCCAGACAGGGACATTAACCTGTCACCTACTGTAATGTCCTTTAGGTGATAGACGTAGAGAAGGGCAGACAATCATAAAGAGAGAGATTAAAACTTGACTAATCCAAAATACTGGAGAAAAAAAAAAAACACAGGACATCACCATCGTTCACTTCTGTCTAAACCCATGTCAGAGCTCTGCTTTGGCTCAGACCGCCTTAAGGAGGCTTTGTTAGGAAATAATTGTGCTTGCACTGAGCATCCCACTGCTACTGCTGCTGGCAATAGCAGCAAATAATATTCTTAATGTCCAGCTTTTGCTCATGCCATGAAAGCTCACTTTAAATCACAGTGTTTTTGTGCCTCCATCTTCAGCATCGGTGGCCATTTGTCCACGGCTTCCCATTCCAAATCTTTTGTCACATGCAATGACATCCTGTCAACACTAAAAACATTGAGCTCAGACCCCAGCACTTTTTTTTTTTTTCACTGATTACTTGAGATTTCCTGCATGACAACCTTGTGAATGTACATGTATTTGTGTGCATAACAAGTGCTATGCGTTGGCTTGTTTTCCGACAAACATTGGAAATCAATGCGCTGATGACATGAAGTAATAGAATTTGTTTCCAATTAAAAATCTAAACGAGGTGGAATATGCAGGTGTTGCTTTTTTAATGCAATGTGGTCTTCATCGCAGAGCAGTGTTCTCTCAGTGATTCCATCAGAAAGGGTTTTCATACACACTTAAGATAAGAGGAGAGGTTAGCATGCAGAGAGAGCCCTGGAAACGACACTGCATCCATTCTTGATTACTGTACTGCAGACTCTCTGCTGAGTTATGTAAGCTGGAGCTGTATGTTGTGCCAACTGTAATTACTTTGCTCTCTTCAGCACCAGAATTATTGTTTTGGATCAAACAAAAAACGCAGATAGCATATTCCAGATAAAAATCATAGTGTCAAGGTTGATAAATCTTTTGAAACACTTTTATGCAGAAAGTACTTTTTTTCCTTCTTCTTTCTCTCTTATAATATGTTGTTGTTTTCTGCTAGTGATATTGTTATGCTGTTCCTTTATGCGTGTGTGTTTGTGGTGTGTGTGTGTGTGTGTGTGTGTGTGTATGTGTGTACCTCTTTGACCTTATGTAAGAATAATACAAGGACACATGGTTATTTAATTGTCGTTTACAATGCAGGGTTGAATCCTATGTTTTCTCATATGTATCCTCATTTAAATGTTGGTATGTTACCAGACTTTCGAATTGACTGCCTCCAATCTGGCAAATACAGCCCACACGTTATTTAGTATGGGAAATCCTGTAAAAAAGCATGTTAATAAAATAACAGCCATATTGCATAATTAATTCTCACCATCTATTCCTGTCGATGAGATTTCTTTCAGATTTCGGACTGTGGTGAATGAAGTCACACCCCCAAACTCCTGTGTTGCCCACCTGACCAGCTCCTCTTCTTGAGTGGGGAAAACTTGGCGGTGGATGTTGTTCTCAGATGGATTGCTATATAGGACAATGTTGGAGTTACTGTGTACCTGGAAAGTAGAGGCCAAGTCACGCCATTAGTTTCATTAAATTAATTTCCAGAAAGAACACAGTCAGATACACCTACATGCTAAAATGCATGAGCTGTCTGTTTTGCTACAGTAACACAGGATTGAGTGAGTCAGCTTTATATTTATTTATATTTAATTCTTGTCTGCTCACATTTTGTCATATCAAACATGTTTGCCTATCCCTCTCATTCTCCTCTATAACTCCACCCAACTCTCCCTCTATTCTCTGAGCAGGGTCCTGTTAAAAAGAAATGTTTATTATGGTTAAGTGTCCACGAGCACAGTTGCACAACCCTGTTGGAGCCATGGTCTTTCCTTTGCTTCCTGAGTGGGGCCAGGAAATGGGATCTTTTTTAGCTCTGTGCGTCACCACAGCCGGCTGGAATCTGGCTCCATACATGGTATAAATATATACATCCATCCCATCGACTAGACACCGCTGTTTCCTCGTCTGGGGCCAATGGAAAATAATGGAGTTTACATTAAGCTTTGCGTGAATAAGAAGGCAGAGGAAGGAGTTGGGAATAAAGCAGTGGAGATTGTCTAAAGAAGCCTTAGACATATGTAAAAATGCACTCAATGAATAACAATTCAAGAAAGAAAACTGCTTTTACTTTGGGCTCAACCTTCAATGTATTTTAATCTACACTGATTTGTCTTTATTTTCTTCTTTTCTTTAGTAGTCAAAAGACTGGAGTGGAAAAATAATGTGTTGTAAACATACTGCACCTATTCATTTTCTAAAACATTATGCCCAAATGCCCAAAACCCTCAAATAAAACTGAGCTGCATAATGAGCTACCATATTTTATTTCATGTTGTAATGTACTTTGCTTTGATTATTTCATTTATTCATTTTTTGAGTGTTAAAATGCACAACACATGGACAGTGTGATTCATACTTCAATTACTACAATTATTCTGCCTCCTTTGTTCCCTTATTGTTTTCATTGCTCTGTATTTTCTATTAATCATCCTTTTAATGTTTATCAAGTGTGATTATGCTTGTTTGAATAATAAAAATCCCTCTCCTGACCCATCCAGTACGTGTGAATATTTGTGCGTGTGTCCTTGCGTCACAAAGTGAGACAAAAAAAAAAAAAAACATGGTGAAAGCCAAGTAAGCCTGAGGGAGTCATTGGGCTTTCTACATGAATATTTGATTGACGCAAGATCAAAAATAGCGTGAAGGGAAACTCCAAAAATACAAGAGGGAAAACCAGTCACGATAGAACCAGGCAGATGGGAAAGGCCTGAGACGACAAACGGGAAGAAAAAGGGAAATAACAATGGTCATTCTAATGACTAACTGGAATTTAACTCAGATTAATCTCTGGGATGGAAGTTATAAGTTACAGATGCTAGGCTCCATCTTTTTACCTGGATAATAATCTTAGATTCTTCATCAAGTATATAAGTAAGTATATTTTACAGCATAATGTGCTTTTGTGACAAACCTTTAAATAAAGAAGTACAAAGAGTCACAAGCCTTTATAGACAAAACTCTTGCTGTCCCCATGTTTTTTAACAACCCTGTGCACTCAGGTCAATTTTTGGAGGCCAACAAGAGCAGTGATTGTGACACTGTGCCAAGCTGTCAAGCTAGTGACGTGCGTTCTCAGACGCAGAACAGATGCTGTTTCTCTTACACTGCAATCTTCAGTAAAACACTATTATCCCCCAGTGATACTGCTCATCCCACGAAAACATCCTGCAGGCAATGTTGTCCAGGCTCTTGACAGGACATGATACAGGATGTAGTATCACACAGCTGTCAGCGTATCACTAACTGATGACACTCCAATAAACATTTCATCATTGTGATTGGTCAGCTGGGATTTTTCTTTTAGTTATGATTTTTTTTTAGGTGTTAGCCTGTCATTTTTATTTGGTAATAATTCACAATACTGCTGACAATTTTGTTTAGTATTATAGCTATTATATATTATATTATAGTTTTTAAAATAATTTTTCCAGTAGTTTAAATTCTCTGCAGCGTGAAGGTACATTGACATATATGACCACACTCAACATTAGTTCATTTTTAATTTTGTCAGCATAAAACAAGTTTTTTGTGATGAAGTGGTTAAAAAGACAAGACGGTGAAAAGTCTTCCAAGTGATGCGTTCATGTGCAGGAGGAAAGCTCTGACACTTGAGAGTCAGCTGCAAAACAGCTTTGCACTAATGCGCTATTTAGTTATAAGCTCAAACATGGAAGACAAACAACTAGCTTTGTGGTAGAGGCAATGTGAATTTAGGAGCCTCTTGTGTTTTAAAGGTTACCGTTAGGCAGCCAACTGTCAATCCTCAAGAATTCCAGAGACAGCAATCTCAGATTGCGCAATGATAATGTGAGTTTGCATAAAGAAATAAAGCTGATAAAATGTTCATTGTGATTCTTCCTCTCAAGGAAGTTTCAAATCACAATTCAATTGTCATGCTGTACTGATATGAACTTCCACCAGTGACTCTCTCTAAGGTAAGAAAAACATATTAATCAACGTACAAAAGTACAACTTTGACAAAGAAGCTGACACTGAAAACCAAAATGTGTAATATCGAATTGACAGTGGTGCAACAAAACAACACAGGAGGCAGACGCTGCTTACTTCACACACTGATGTGTGTTAAGCAATAATGTAACCTACTCTGCTGTAGATGAGTTCTTTAACAACTGCAGATGCTAAGTGGTTTAATTATTGGTTTAATAAAAGTTATTATAACTTTCCATGAGGATATGGTTCCTGATCTACAGAAACTGCAGTTCCATATCTTGACCACAATTGAAACTAATCAGTGTTTTCCATTAAGAAATTAGGTGTTTCATCAGTAACATATTTAGAATTAATATTCCAGTTTGACGCAATCTCATTTATTTGGACACCTCAGTCTTTTTTAATATAATTTCCTGTTTGAGGCTTTTGAGTTTGGTGAAAACAGACCATGACATAATGTAAGAAGCTGAATTGAATTGAATTGTACTCGGTGATGTGTTTCAATAACAATACTTAGGTTCATCACCAATGCCAATTTAAATACCAAAATAGTCTGACACACTACAATAACCAAACACTTTGTCCACATAACATTATTATTCCTCTATTTAATTAGACACTTCAGCAGCTGAATAAAAGTTGTTTTGTGGCCTCCCTAGATTTAATTCACAGATATAATCTGAGGACAGTGTATAAAGGTCAGAATCTATAATTTCATTGGAACATTACTTCTACAGCCGGCGCCATCAGCCCCTCTTGTTGCTCACCACTTTAAAACTTGTCTTGCCGATTTTATGGTGTGGATAATAAAAACACAAAAACACAAACTGCCTCGTGCAGAACAGCCACTGGGGAATATCTATGGAAGGCAAACATAGTTCACTGTCTCTTAACAGGCCCGGAGCGCTGCACAGCTGTGGCAGTTTGACTGTATGTTAAACAGCTGGCACTTGACAGGAGCTAAGTACATCTGGAGAAATTAGAAAATTATACAATACTGAAAAATAACCACTTACACTGGTGATCCCACAACCTGTTATTTTTCATGATTAGTCCGTACTTGTTAAACAATCTCTTGTATCAATACCAAGCAAGTAGTGGAATCACAGACAACAGACTAACACATAAAATAAATTTTGTGGTATGTTGCACAATCAGCATTTTAGTTCCCCTTTACTTTGCACATATCCATCCGTGCTGCACCCAGTCTGAATGGTATGAAAGAAAAGAGGCATAACTCACATAAATGTTAACCCCAGTGTTGAGTTTTGGTAGACAGTGAGCCTTGTCTGACGACGTGAGGATGAGGTTCATGGGCCTGGCATTGGTCATCTCCAGAGAGAAAACCTTGGTCTCCTGAAAGGAAACAAAAGATTTGATCCGTTACGTTTAAAATAATGACCATTTATTGTATTCACTTCTGTATTCAAACTCTGCATTTAAATATTTACCATGTCCTTTATTCAGCTGTAAATTCAGTGCTGCTTAAGCATGTTAATGAGTTAACAACTTCTAATTCTGTGTGGAAGCCAAAGGGTTTGGAGTTTGTGATTGTGTTGCAGGCAGGCAAAGTTTGGCAGTGGTGTAAATCTCCAGGTGCAACACTGGGACTGATTAGGAACACAAAGAAATTGTGTAGCATAAATATTCACTCACCCTGTTAAGCCATCCATATGGGAACTACCATGCTGCCTATAATGAGTTTTCTGGTGAGGTACCATGCTGAGTCTGTGCTGTGTTATATAAACAAAGCAGTAAAATAAAAAAAACTAAAACTTTATGAAATGTACTTCAAACAATGCCTCTTGCTCCTATTATATAACTGTTAACTGTGTTGTCACACAGCAAAGTGGAGGGATATATTTATCTGTGCAGTCTTGTCATATTGAAACATGTCACAGGCTCCATTAACATGTAGTATTTTTAAGATTCCTACTTTACTGCCAAGATTAAAAATTAAAAGAATCATAATTATGTGACTTATGAGTATTTTAGCACAAACATTTTAGGTTGAGATTTTGGAAAACTCTCAATCATAAACATATATACAAAATTAATCATAATCATTATGACCTTTTCGCGCAGAATCGAAATGTGCCAGTATGCCGACTTCAAGCCAGCATTTGTTTTGAGTGTAAAATAGTATATAACTATTCCCCAATTTGCAACCTTCCCTTTTGGCATGGATGTCATTAAATGAACAGACCTCAAACTGAGGAGTAGAGAGACATTTTGCTTGTAGAACCAAGTTTAAAAATAGTTCCATCTGCAGTTTAATTCTACACAAGTTTGATTCTGTTTCTGCCCTATTGCAAAAATCAGTGGGGGATATGACAATTATCCTTGTTTTCGCTACTATGAAATGTCAACACATGCATCTCTCCAGAAAAAGCAGTGCCAGTCATTTGAGGAGGGCTCGCAGACAGACAGGAAGCTGTCTTTGCTGTCTGCCTCCGTATTGACAGAGACATTAATGAGGTAATGCAGCGTGGTTCTATTCTTACAGTGCAAGCCAACAAGGGGAAAAAGTCAAAAGCTATCAAAATGATATATTTACCTGACATGCGAACAGCAGCATTTTTTTTTTAAGCTGTGTGTCTTTGTAGCATTGAAACCATGTGTTAATACTAATGAAATAAGAATTATTTTAGGGTTCAGTATTCCTTATCAATTTATGTGTCTCTTATCACTTGCAACCCAGTGCACTCCCGTACGTGGCGGATCCTGCCGGTATTTATATACTGTATATAAAACCTCATTAACATAATTTAACACATAATGTAATACCTCATTAACCACATTTTCAGTTGAGGGTAACACAATGGCGATGTGATTCGCTAATCACCACCACAGTCACTCTATGAATCAGCCTTAATTACCATGCTCCACATGTGCGTAGGGTAAAGCTGGTACCGCTGAGTTTTATGGATGTAAGTGGTGGTGAGTAAACCTTTTCACTGTGGAATAATAAGTCTGAGTTTAGAGACATTTTTTTAGAACACTGACTTAATTCCAATAAATCCTAGTTCTAATTACTTTTACTTCTGTAATAGCCTTAAGATAATTGGGTTTAGAAAAGTAAAAGAGTCATGGATTTGAAATTGTCTCAATTCTATGACTCAATACATGAGTGAGAATTGAACAGCTTTAAAAAAAACAAAATAAAGAAAAACATGGAAATATCTCTCCAGTGTGATTCTTTTGTGGGAATTTAACATTCATAAATACAAATGTCTGCTTTGATCCATCTGTGATGCCTTTTGACACCAAATACTTTATTCTGTTTATTTGAAGGTAGATTGTTTTCAGAGCCGGGCTCTGCTGGGGAGACAGTGAGCATGCTGGGGAAACAGTGTGAATCCCTAATATTAAATTTATTCACTTGCTACCTGATGCTGCCAGAGCTTGATCCAAGAGAATTGTGATGAGCTCAGGCCTGTGCTATGGAAATTTTCAGACCCGTACAGAACAAATTAGGTCTAAGGAGACCATCAACAAATTGCCTATGAGCAAAACACAGATACATTGGAAAGAGAGGCTTGCGCACCCGGTAAAATGGTCAGAGGGATCTGTAATCTCTCACACACACCCACACACACACGCTATACTATCACTGTCTTGTACATAGTGGCTTGTGCATAATGGATGCTGCACCTCATAAATGTGTTTAGTCCCTTCTTTTTAAAAAGTGGCCAAAGGGGACACTGCAATCCCAGGTGAAAACATGGCGGCTTTGAATGGACTAGGAGTCAGGATCATGTGCAAAAAAGACCTGTTCACTGTCTTGCTTTGTGTTGTTGTTTTAACATTCATAAGACACTTTCTTTCCATCTTCAGTGCATTTATTAATAATAAAAAGAATATAGCTTGACTGCCCTGAAGACAGACAGAATTTAGGAGGGACTGAGTTATTATATCACGAGAGTCACAGAGTCTGTGATTTTGGAAGGTTTTAACATAACGTCTTCCCAGAACTACCACCTCCTTTTTACCTGAATCATTTTGCATGTACACTCAGTAAATGAATGAATGGCATTTCCTACAGAGTTCATTGTGCCTCAAACAGAGATAACTCAGTGGTGTTTTCCTAAATACTCCTTTCTAATGAGCTTCATTGTCTCTCTGTCTGGTTTCCCTCCCTTCATCCTCTTGTGACTTTCATTCTTTCATTTTGAACTCTGAATCATGACTGTCGCTGACCCTGATCACTCACCTTTGCTACTTTTGTTCCTGTGCTTTCAAGATACAATTGTTTGCCTTTTCAGCCTTTTTTTTTCTCAAGAGCATTTTTTTTGAAGGGCCTTTGCTGATGCAGTTTCCAGTTATTCTTTTGGCTCTCTCCCTTAACTTGAATTGGCTCCGTTGGTCTAGTCTCGGCCCTGTGCCAAGACCCCGACTACCCAAGCCAGTATGTGACATCAATGGGCCCTGTACAAGCAGCTCCTCCCTACGAATTCTCCTGGCCTGTCGCAGCCCCCTCGATGTTCCCTTTATAATTCTCTGTGCGGTCAAACTGTGAGATTCAACTCTCAGGCAAGTTGTAAATCAGTATGAAAAACAAAAGGGATGGGGAAGAAGGTGATAAGACATTTTAAAGGACAAAGAAAGGGGGAGGCAAGAGCAAACCTCCCATCTGACTGGACAGTTTGGCAAAAGATGAAGACCGTCCCCTTCAACTGTGTTTACAAGAAACGTCTGTTCTAAACAGACAGTCAAGAGCAGATAAGGGGTCTGTGTTTGGAGATCTCATGTCCACTTTCTTCTTTCATTTGATAAAGCATCCAATCATAGTTCCACAAGAGAACAGCATATGCTCTGTACAACATCCATTGCATCACACAGATCCCAAGCCAAATTCCTTTTTTTAACTCCCACAAACCCCATGCCAATTTATGCTTTTATGAGACAACTTGAACCATTCTCTGTACGAACTCTTACTTTTTTAAATGAAATGTGTCTTTTTCTTGTTCTCCCACACAACATAATGTGTCTGGTTTCACTCTTTGGGTCTAATAAGATGGCTGAGAGAAGCATTTCCCTCCCAATATGCTTTAAATCTGTTTTGTCATCAAACAGCTTTTTCTTCTTATTTCCAGTCCATTAAATATGCTGTAAAACTGCAGTCCATTAAATGAGACTAAAGACTTGGCAAAAGAGCAGTATTTATGCTCATAACCCAGTATTTGAGGGAAAGACAATCATCTGCTTGCACAATGTTAGCACTCTTACTTAAAACAAAACTAAATACAGGTCTTACAGACCAGGGCATCTCTGAGGCTAAGTAGCTACACTGCTAAGACACTTATGTTAATGTGTCTTTGTGTAACATCACAACTAAACTTCAGTATTCTCTAATGTCAAATTCAAAAGAATTAATTCTGAAGGAAAAACACTCTTCTTTTTAAATCAGCTTAGCTTACTGGTTAAAGTTTCTCCTAAGAGAAAAAATATGACAGGATTCTCTATAGCTTTCCTAAAAGCAACTCAAGGATTTATAGAGGTGATGGATTCAGGCAGGCATTGTATCCTGTGATGGTGCTTTGGCTAGGCTGCACATAGCACATCTGTTCCCCTCCTCATAATCACTACCAAATGAGAAAGAATGACCAACAGAGTGAAAAATAAAAAGAGACAATAAATAAATAAACAGCAGTTGCTTAACACAAGTTGTGTGGAAGTACTACATAAAGAACTCTAAGTGAGAACAAACAGAAGAAGCAAACAAACAGAGCACACTGATAAAGAAATGACTAATGTGAGCTGACCGACAATGTTCGACAGTGAAAAATGGAGTCTGGCACAGCAATAACAACATATAGATTAAAAGTTTTCTGGAGTTACTTTCTGCTGTCATTCCCTGAAGCTAAAAGTTTCACATTTAAAATGACCCAATACACTATCCGCAATTACGGTGTGTGTTAGTTTAGCCAAAAAAGGAATTATTTAAACACAAAGCCAAACTTGTAGAGTGGGGCTGTTATACAGTAGAAGCTTCTTTAGTGGTAAAAAAAAAAAAAAAAACTGTAGCATTCTGGGAAACCCTATCTTTCTGTTATGTCTGGCATCTGTTAAGGGTTAGCAAGTGGCTGATAAAACACGGAGTGTGTGTGTTTACATCTTATAGTGTGGGAAGAATGTTTTTTTTGGCTGATTCATTTAAATGTTAGGGTTACAGTTTGTACGACAACAATATTACATGTAAAAAACGACAATATTAACCAAAATAAAGTTAAAAGAGCACTGATTTAGCAATGCACTTCTATAACATTGTCGTAAAAAAATGTATGCACCAGAACCAGAGATAGTGATGTTTATATTCTAGATATTCTTCTTCCTTGTCAACATCTGGCACCCACAATGCAAATCTGGAGTCATAAAGAATCTCTAGAGCCATAAAAGTCTTTGTAGTTTTTGACCTGTTAACAGACTCTAATGTGTACATTCTGCGGAGTTCCCCTTTAAATGTATACCGACAAAATCATATTGCATTAATGTCAGTCGCTCTGTCCTTGCTTCCTGCCTCTTCTGACTCCAGTTTATCTGATTAATCTCTGTGTTGTGCGCACTAACATCTCATTAGGTCATTCTGAATCTGACATTTTTGTCCTGCCTGCCAACCACCAGTGTCGAGTCAGCTCAACACATGACCCGCTCACCTGCATATCCAGCTGCTCTTTGTTTGCACTCAGCCTCGGTATATCAAGAGAAGAGCTAACAGTCAATCTCTGCCAGGTTACTCATGTTGTCTTAGCATTCCAGCCTTTCTATGCCTTCTCCACGGCAGACATTTTTATTTGACATAGTAGGCAAATCACAGGTTTAACTAATAAAATTATGGATGGCTCCGTTCTGTTCTAGCATGCCAGTAAGCTGTGACAGTGAGCCGGCATGAACAACACCAAGACCATCCAACCAAAGCAACTAAATGGAATTCGGCCATCATTTTACACCTGTGCTTTTACTACCGGGAAATGTCAAAATGTTTCTTGTCATCTTTTCTCTATCATGGTTGACCATGTTCTTCAACTGCAACACAGGCAGTTTTTAAAAAATTTCCATCTCCATCACATAAATCAGCCTCCACAGTTGGCTTTGCTATATTTTAATGCTATGTCATATTGCATGCAATCTGACAGAGCCTCCAGCTGTGTAAATAAAATAAAAATTGAATTCAAACTGATTCCCTGTGTTTGTAACTATGAGTGACATATTCTATTATCTGAAAGGTGTAAAATGCATACAAGGTGAGCACGTGTGCAATGCATGGACTGGCACACTGCTTTATAGGTGTGACTGAACTTGACATATTGTACCATCCATTGAAAAGGATGATTAATTTGGAGATGATAACACACCCATGACAGGCCATGGTATTGGATTTATATAACAAGTAAGCTGAGTTGTCAGCTTGACAGATAGCTAGTGTGTTGATTGTGCAGCCTTTTAACTTTCTATGTTCTGTTGCAGCTTAGCTTTGCAATTACTATATGGTCTACAGAGAAGGTTTCGCCTGCCTGCTGAATTTCACTGTTACTATACATGTTAAGGAAGTGGCAAGTAAGAATTTTTTTCATTATTATAATATTGCATATTTACATTTACATAATGAGCTCCAGTTGCATCTCATTTGTGTAACCTTGACATGCTTACCGTCTCGTCAAAGTTTACGTTAAGGATGTGGACCTCTGCCTTGTCCTGTCTGACGAAGCTGGTCCAACAGCCAATTTTCTCACTCACATAGTCCCATGGGTGGTCATTATCCAAATTTGGATCACATGTCTGACTTGAGGCTGAAAGAAATCAAATACAAATAGTTAAGCACTGTCAGCAGCATATAATCAAGTTACACTGAACAATCTCTTGCTTCCAGCATTACTACACAAATTCTTGCATCATCTAGTCTTGTGCCTCAAATCCCAGGTAGTGCAAGATGACAAATCTATCCACAACAATCCTGTCATATTTGTACATCAGCAGCACATGAATGAAGAACTATATGCGTCAAAGCCAAAATCCATTATTTAACATATAGATGAACCCAGCAATGTTACAGATTCCTTGTCTGAAAGGGGCTAAATTTGTTATTAGTCATTGTGAAAGCTTTTCCCTGGTCTAGGAGTATGGATGTTAAATGTGTGGGTAGGACTACATTGTTTAAAAACGAATCTGCCGGTTCACGTTTATCAGACGTGTCAGGATACGGGGCTGCAGTCATCCATCAAGCCTGCTCACTCTGCTCTCTGCTATGAGCCTGCTGTTTAACCTGGGGATCCGTGTCTCTGGAGGCTGAATTAATCGAGCCAAGGCTGTGCGGTCATGGATGAGGTTGGGTATAAATGCCTGGTGTTTGACCTGGGCTGTGTGTGTGTATGTGTGTTCTATTGTATTAGATAAGAGAAGGTATGTGCATGCACATGTTCACTCTAACCTGTCTAAACTTGGCAGGGACTAAATATTCTCCAGCAAACTTCCTCTTTCCTCAAGAAGAGCTGTGGAGAATACAGTGTAGAGGGTCAGATGTATTTTCCAACTCAATCAGGGATCTCTTTCCTGGCCCATCTACCACCTTTTGCTGATTAGAGATGAAAGGGTCTAGGCCATTATGGGAGTGCTGTGGCACTGCAGTCTTTGTTCATCTGAATTTACTCCTCGGGATAAAGCCTTAAAGCCACCCACCTTCACTGTGGAGTCGGCTCGCATGGGATCAGCCAGAAGGACTAGTCTGTCCTGCGCCTAAACATTAACATGAGCCTATCTACAATAAGATTAATCCAAGCAATATACTCCTCTAAGTATCATGCCTCAATCACCCCCAAAACAGCTGGTGGCGAAGCATATAAGGGCACGAGAGTGATATCATAACAGAAACAACTAATTTAGTGAGCAAATGCTGCATGACATACCGCTCCACTGACTTTTATGATGTATTTGGTCTGTTTACCCAGCAGGACGCAATCCCTCAGAGAGGAGATGTAGTGTAAAACAAGTCAGATGAGAAAGAAAGAGGACTAGAGAGGAAAGGGTTAATAGGAAATTACAAAGTTTGGAAGGTCAACAGGATGTGCCTTATTTAGAAGCGGCACTAATCAAAGACCTTGGTTGAGGCAATGTCATCACTAGCAGTGGAGGAGAATGGACAGAGATAGAGATAAAATGGGATAGAAAGTGTTGAATGCAATGAAAAACGGAAAAAAAGGGAGCTGGAACATGTTACATAACTAGCTCTTTCTCCTGTTTTTGTTGTCCCCACAATGAAATTGGGTTGGCATCATGGACTCTTATTCATTTGTTCAGTTCATTTATTTGTTCATAACCTACAATATCACTTATGGAAAAAGAGGCGCTCATGAGATATCATTTTTGGAATCAGCTTGTTATCTAAGATGCTACTTATTGATAGATTTTTTGGATTTAGAATCTTTTATTTGTGTCACATAAAAATCTTTTCCCCTTTTCAAGGGGAGTAATACATCATGCCATTGTCCTTTGGTAGTATTTTACGGTCAAATCAAGGACACATTTGGCACTAATTAGGAGATATGGGGGGGGCTGTAACATTTGTGGGCCAACCTCTTCACTGTTTCTTAGTCTGCTCAGCTTTGTACTGCAGCTTTTCTAGCAAATCAAGATGGAGAGCCATCCATACTTCTTCGCCATCTCTTTTTCCCTCCCTCACCACAGAGGTCAAGGCTGGTTTCCTGTTATTCTGGCCCTCTGTGTTAATGTCTGTTGCTCAATATCCACATCCATAAAGTTATTTCTCTCTTGTTCTGCTGTGACAGAGTCAACGATCCCTGACTGTCGCCTGAGAGGTCTTGGTATAAATCACACTGACTGCATAAGCCTGTGCGTGTGTGTGCGTACATGCATGTGTCACTGGTCTCCTTTTTTACGAGTCACCATAGGATGTGAAGAACATTCATTTTGCCCTCTTGACCCCGGAAATGCCAATGGCCTCGCTAAGCGGTTTGCTGGTAAATGAGGTATAGAAGAACCATTCCATTCCCTGTCCTCTTTATCTACTTATATCAGTCCCCTCCATTTCCCATTCCATGAGAAGACATGTTTATGGATGCTGGTGATTTCCATTTAGATGTTAGGTATGAGGGGGAGATGTGAATAGAAAACATTAGGGGACATTAGGGAGGACAGAAGATGAGCTCAATTCATGAAAAGTGCATATAATCAAATTTGATCCCAAAGGTTGCTTTAATTCTTAATGTAAAGTCAATTTTAGTGGTTACACACGTCATATTAAAGGGGTTTAAATGAATCTGTATACCTGAATAGACTACTGCTAATTACCATATTAACGCTTTTATTAATTTATTATGACTAAATTACCAGACTTAAAAGGGACTTTTATTTAACTGGAAACATATTAAACATATTATAGGAAACTGATGCTTCTAAAATTAAGACCAACGAGTGCACAGCCAAAATCAATAATGGACAATTTGCTGTTAGTTGGAGAAAGCCCAATTTTGTGGAGCGTGCCAATATCTGAGAGCGATGAGCAACTTACAGTATGATGCACTTTAAACTGCCCTCAGCTGTTCTCCTGGTTGTCTGCAGCACCCTGGAGCCACAACTAACAAGGAGAGCAATAGCTCCCATCTGGTAACTTCACATGTCCAGAGTCTGTTTGCTCTTTCTTTCGTAACCCTCCAGGGCATTCAAAAAAAAGATAGTAAAAGGAGACTAGGAGATTAGTTAACCAAATCACAGACATCCGTTTTCCGCATGTATTCAATTGTGCATAGCACCATTAAGACATCACCACTACTGTGACCATTTTAGGGCATCTCAGGATCAGCTTGGCATTAACTATGTCCTGCTTCCATCAGTCTATTAGGCCTACTTTCTTAAGTTTAGCTCAACATGCTGCTTCAGCTCACTTTGCTAAAAGTTGTCAGTTTCGGTTTATCAGCTTTACATTCAACCTGTCAGCATTAGGTGTAGGTAGGCCAGTGCATGTTAAGTTTATGTGCTTTATGCAAATATGTTATCATGCTGACATTAGCATGTTAGCAAAAGTGTGAACTATGCGTAGTAGAGTCTTATGGATGTGGAGATTAGCCTCACAAAGTAGAGTTTAGATTGATAAAGTAGAGTCCGGTAAAGAGCTGAGCCTTATAAATTGAGCTTGAGATATACGTAACATCTTAATTTTGTTGTTTTGATTACAGTCATTTCCATTGCTTGATGGACAGTCAACTCAAATATTTATAGACTATAGCTACCCTTACCAACAATATCCCAATTTAGGACTCTAGATGTGCGCATTAAAGTTTTTTCTCCATTGTTTTAAGATTTAGATTAAAATACTGTAAAAATATAATTAATTCAGGTTGGCAACCTGAACTTCCTAAATTAAGTTTCACTGTCTATAATTAGCCACCATAGCTGCACTGAGACTAGTAGCTGTGCTTGGAAGTTACTGGAGAGTTTCAGGTGATTTATCTTTATTAGGGATTAAAGTAGGCCTTCGCAGGGCTGACATCCTGTATTCTTCCTTTGTCTGCTTCTTTTTGTCAGAAGTGTTTGAACACAAGAGCAGTAAGTCCAGACAGCAACTGTGACTGCTACTACACAAAACTTTTCAAAGAACTTTAACAATTGTGAAACAGGACTATTCTCTTACTGTCAAATCATCACACCATTTGCATTCATGAATGCAAAAAAAGAAAATGTATATTTCAAAATCGGGTGCACCACATGACATTAAATTGTTACGAATGCTCTAGGAAAGAAGTTCCCATGATGTGGGCGCCCATAACAGTATTAGCAAGGCCAAAAAGGCATCATAAAGTTTGTGAGCAGTATACTCAGAGCTCCATCCCACAAGCATTGCATTATGCTAACAGCCCATAATCCAACTTTAGGGAAGCATTCACTGTGTTGTTTCACACTATGTTAACATTATGGTGATAAGAAAAAATGAGTCTGTTCCAACCCATCCTGTGAAGCAAAGTGGAATGGGTTTTATCTTAGTGCGAGTGGAGAGAAAGTGGAGAGCTGCAAGTCGAAAACCCAGAGAGGCTGAGGAGTGAAGTGATGACAGAACACCTTAGGCGAGAATGAAAATTGTTGTCACCTCTCCACTATTTACATGAGCGATAACTCACCATACATGCAACTTATATATGACGAATGAGACCAAAATAATTGAAAAGTCACATGATGTGTCCGTCAAATGGTACACTGTGACTCCTGATTGTCTGTAACTGCACAAAAAGTAGAAGTACATGTAGAACACATATCTGATTGACTTGATTATCACTTCTTGTTTTGAACATATTCTGTAGTGTTAGTAGAAATCAGAGGAAACAAGAAGTCACTTCTTGGGGGGAAAAAAAAAGGGCATTTCTTCAAAAAGCTACTAAAGTTTATTTCTTCCTACTTAGAAGTTCAATTTGATGGATTCAGAGTTCCTCAAATTGAAAAAAATGTTGCTGACATGTTTTGCAGTAATTTGCTGAGGTTATGTGTTCCATATTTTCAGTGTTTTACAGGACATTTACAGATGGTATATTTGGTGGAAGTAGGGGATGAGGCTTGCTGTTGTCTGTGCGGTGCTGTTTATGTTAGCTAGCTACTTCTGCCAGTAAATTAAAGATCTCAAGAGGTGCCTGTCCATCTGTAACACTGTTGCCTCAACTTTGAGCATCCGTGCTGTGCCAACATCGCAGAGTACTGACAGGCAGTGGCAAGCCCTTGAATTTTAAATTTGTATCACACCTTAACTAAATGTTGATTTAGATTCAAGGGATTGAGTACCTGCGGCCCA